AAATATGGTGGAGATATATATGTAAGCTATTCTTTGTGGAGTTACTTGCTGGACACCCTATATCTCTTTAGTATTCGTCAAAAGAAAACGAATCACTAATGATGGCTATATAGCAAATATCTGAAAGGAAACATTCGACTAGGTAGTACCTATAGAACTCGTTTTAATATTTCTGTTGGTAAGATTTATTTTATTCTCTATCGCAGGAATATAATACATTTTTCTTATTGTTTTTTATTTTTGATACTTTTACTTTCATTTGAAATAAAACAAATGAATTTATTTTATGAACGTGAACAAAATATTCGTAATTGCGATGTATGAAAAAGGTTTTAAAAAAAACCTCGTGTACCACCAAAAAAAAAAGAGTGAAACGTGTTCATTTTAACTATATATATCGATATTCATAAAGCTTACAGCAGAATGTGACAGAGTCTCAAATAATAAACTTATATCGATTGAACATATTAAAGGAGCTATTGGAAAATAATATGATCTTAGTTGTTCATAAGAAAAACTTTTGTACTAGATATGTAGTAGAGTGTGGGTATGTTTGATGATTAGTTTCAAAAGAAGCAATAGAATTATTGATTTTATTTTATGTAATTTTAGCTTGTTACTCATTTTATTGAACCACATTGTTTTAATCCAACATTTATTTGTGATCATCCACAAATCATGAGTCCATTGGCAAAATAGTAAGAAAAAATTATACTTTTGTATTTTCTATAAATGTCATTCATGTTGTATTATCTTTTGTTGTTTTTTTTTGAATTTAGTCATCGTTCTATACCTGGTTTAACAGAACGTTTTGAATTATTTGTTTATTATAACGAATTATGTAATGCACTGTATTGAATGAGCCACTTGTACAACGTGAAATGTTTGAATTACAAGCAAAAGTAAATATCGTTTTCGTTTCGTTCTTTTTTGTCTTATATATTCAACTTTAATAATTAATTATAAAACAAAAAATGAATAATATTTTTTTTTTGTAAGAATAAAGCAGTTGGTGATGAAGAAGCTCAAACAATTGATGAAAATTATTGTAAAGCACTTGAATATGGTTTACCACCAACAGGAGGTTGGAATATAGGAATTGATCGTTTAACAATGATTTTAACAAATAGTAATAATATTAAAATGAGTTATATACAAATTATTAGTTTTTATTGTTCATATTGATACAGAAACAATCATGATCAAACCTATCTCATTCTTCTATTATATTAAAATATAATAATACTCTATATTTTTACATTTATAATTCATTCTAAATGTAAATGGATGTCTAAATAAATCAGGTTAATCAAATAGGTCCGTTGAATAAGACTAGAAGTCTTCATGTCATAATCGAAGAAAATTTTATAGGACTCGCATTTGAACTGAAGTTTCTTTTTGCATTTGAGTTTGGATTCCAATTTCCTTTTTTTTTTATTCTAAGCTTTTGAACTGATGAAAGAATTGTTTCCAATGATAAATCACTTTGCACTTCGAACTTTATATGAAAAGTTTTAACTTTAGTGAGATATGAAAAGAACCAAAAGAGTCAATGTTCATATCTATCATTTAACTCATAGATAGATCGATTTATGATTAGGATGTCTTGAAAATTGTATCTAAAACAAAAATATGTTTTCTTCACAAAATATTAAATTTCGAAAAAAAACCTTCGTATTCCAAGATCTTGAGAAGGGGATCTTTTCAAATAAATCATGACAAATTATTGAAACTTTATTGAAAAGACATCAACAAGGACAAATATTTGAAGCAATCACATTTGAAAATGATTTGAACTAATTAGTTTTTTGTGTTTTCAGACTTATCCTCTGATTTGACACAATTGTTTTTTTTTTAAATTAAGGTATTTAATATTATTTGTTGAATCTCTTTTCTCAATCTTGTTATAGTCATTTTTATATTAAATAAAAGTATTCAAATCAGATATTCATTATTAACTATATATAGTACAGCTTAAATAGACTAGATTAAAAATCATTAGAAAATTGCTTTATAGCAGACAACTGACAAAAAATAAATAATATAAATAAAATGTACATTTCAATCTTCTCTTCTTGACGAGGTATCAAATAGTATAAGAATTTAAATTTTAAGATTGACAAGAAAAAATAAGATGAAATAAGGATCAGTAACTAAACATCAAGAATAATCTCTAGATACAAAGATATCAAATGTTTGTTATTAATAAATATAAAGAAACGAAGTAATGTTGATCAATAGTACATAGAAAAACTTCTAACTTACGCAAACTTTTATTTTGCATTATTTTCGTATGATAATCAATCATCTAATACAGTGGATGTCAAAAGTCTCGCACCACTTTTTTGTTTTGGTTGGCATTTCAAAAATACACGATATAGATTCAAATTTCTTTTAATCTTTGGATAATAGGGCTCGATTACTATATGTATCCATATGTTTGAAATGAATAATCCTTGAATTGAAAACATGAGAAAAAAAAAACTTAAGTACTACGACAAAAACTACTGAAAAAAAGACAAACTGGTATGATTGTTATGAGTTATAGAAGTTTCACTAAAGTTGGAGTAATATGAAGATCGAGTAAGACTTTGTTTGATTTTCACATTACTAGGATCTTACCAAACTCATAACAGTCATATCAGCTTGTCTTTATTTTTGGGTAGTTTTTGTCATAGTACTTAAGTTTTTTTTTCTCATGTTTTCGGTTCAAGAGTTATTCATTTCAAACATATGAATACATATAGTACTCGAGCTCCGCTATCCAAAGGTAAGAATAAATTTGAATCTATATCGTGTATTTTTGAAATGCCAATCAAAACAAAAGAGTGGTGCAAGACTTTTGACGTCCGCTACATTTGAACATTTTTTGTCTTGTTTGTTGTTGTTTGTAACGTCTGTTATACGTCCAGGTAAAAGTTGGAAATGATCGTTATAAAGATCGAAAATTTCCTTTCATATATTAAAGAAAAGCAATAAATCACTTAAAACTCACTACATATATAAAAAATATTTTTCTCTTTATTTTATATTTGACTAAAAAACTCAAGATTATACATATTTCTTCATGTATTATTATTATTGTATTTCTTACTATTTATTTTTCAAAAATAAAGAATTTCAAGCAAAATTCTGCTTGGAAGCAAAATTCTGCTTGGAAGCAAAATTCTAATAAAACTCTGCTTGAAATCATAATTCTAAGAAAATTCTGTTGAAAAAATATAATTCTCAGCAGAATTTTGATTTTGAAAAGGAGATGGATACATGTGATCGTGTATATCATAAGACAAAACTCTGCTTGAAGTCAAAATTCTAACACAGTTCTACTGTAAAAACATAACTCTCAGCAGAATTTCGACTTTGTAGGGGAGATCTGTGTATATGATAAAGAACAATTCTGTTTGGAATCAAAATTCTAACTCAATTCTGCTGTGGAAGTAGAATTCTCAGCAGAACTTTGATTTTGTATGGGAGAGAATAGTATAACATGAAGTAAATAAGTGTATAAGAGAAAAATAATGAAACAGCAAAGTTCTTGAAGTCTGCTTGTGATGAATTCTGCCACTTCTGATTCTCTAACATTTTCACTTGCATTCACTCTATATCCAAACCCTTATGTGAATTTAACTACTGCTCTTTGAAAAGCATTCTTAGATACCTAAATCTAAACAGATACTTAAATTCATCTATTCAGTAACTTTTACAAAGATGAAAATAAAGTTTTTAAAAACTCAAAGTAACTAAAGACAACACCTTAGACAATTATTTTTGACGTGTTTTTCAAACTTCGTATACTGAAGTTTATGATCTCCTACACTTAATATATTTTTCATAAGAATTATATTCCTTTATCCTTTTGTATTATGTAAATTGTAGGCATTTTTTGTAGTAAAGTATGCATTAGCAATCATTTATTAAAAAACATTTATTTTCATCACACTAACTATCACCAATCATCTTTTTCGTAACTTCTCATTGCAAAACTGAATTTCACTTCTTATAACATCTTTCAAAATACTTTATAATGAGACATATGATTTATTGTTATTTTTAAAGATTGAAAAAAAAACAAACTGAGAATTGACATACTTCTCTTCGTTTCTGAATCGAAATCTTCTTCATAGGAAAGAAATAATATGATGTTGAATCGTTATAATCTTCAGTTAAACCACTTGACCTTTTTCTTTTGAAGGTAGTTTTGATAATAAATTTTCTTGTGTTTTCGCTTCATAGAAACAGAAAGTAAGAAAAGCTGCTTGTATGGACTCAGCAAAGCTCATATCAATAGAATTTCATTCATTTCTGAAAATAGTTTCATTTACATTCCAAGTCAAACATTCGATTAGAAGGGAATAAACAACATCTTTCCATAGTTCAACATAATAAAACACACACTCTGTTTGAATATTGTCTTGATCTTTTATTATTATAATCATAGAAAGAAAGGCTTTATGCATAAGAAGTGTTTGGAATTCATTTTTTAAACTGTAATATGAACAATATTCAAAATAATATTCTATTCAATTGTGAGCTTTTGAATAGACGTTATCTAAATATTAACAATCTGAACGATTTCTTCTTATCATATAGAATAGTACAAATTAGTAATGTATGATATTAAATGAGATAACAGTACAAATCAAGCATATTCTTTAGTTTCAATTATTTTCAAGGATACCGTAAACATCTCATATGAAACATTTCGACGAATTTACTGAAGTTGTAGATTATAAACGTGATTAATCGACAATTTTCTTTTCAATATTATAGATTCAATTTGTTTTTTCAAGGTGTACATCTTCAATCTCTTTCATTAAGTGAACATTTGATCGAGCAAGCCAATTTTATTGACGAAAGATTATTCGTAGCTGAATATATATATATGAATATAAGCATACAAACATATAATTGAAAATCAGAATAAAATAATATTTAATTTCTCTTTTATATTGTCACTGTTTATTTAATTTAAAGATCTTCACCATCAAATTTAGCCAATGGAGCATCTGAATTCTTATTCATTGAATTAAGCATTGTTGTTATATTATTTTTCATTATTTCATCACTATCTTCCGTTGTTTTCTTATTATTAATACCTGCAACTTTTCGAAATGCAGACCACATAAAATCCATCATTTCATTTTTCTGTTGTGAAGCAGCTAATTCACGTTTAACATGTGCAAATGAATCATTCAAACTTTAAGAAAAAAAGAAACATCATTCTTTTACAAAATGATCTAACTTATCGATCATACTTACATAGTCAAAAAGATACTTAGCAAAGCAATAAAGACAAGAGTTATGAACGAAAGAAAATAAAATGAACCTAAAAGTAAGGAAAAAAAATCGAATAAGATTATTAATTTTAATACTATGCTTGTTTTCTTTTTTTCTTTTGAACTTACCATAGACTCGACTAACAGCAAGCATATCTGGAGCATTAATTTCACCCAAAAGCATTCGAAAGCAAGTTGTTAATGCAGTAAAAAAGCTCTTATAAGATTGAAGTGAACGACCAAATAAACCAAAACCCATGTGTGCATATGCTATCATAAAAATAACAAAAACAACTCCAAATGAATTTAAATCTTGTCGAGCATAACGAAGTGATTGTGATAACATTCCAATACGTTTATTAAAACGAAGTAATTTTAAAAATTTAAGCATTGTAAAAAATGTTACTAATGCAACAATATATGAATAAACTTCATCAAAACTTCCAATGGCATTAAAATTAACAAATTCACCTAATAAAAATAATCAAATAAAAAAAAAAAAAAATTACTCTTTCATCTTTATATCTACTTACCCATATCAGTTTTTCTTAATGATCGAATAGCTAATCGTGTTAATGTTTTTTTAGTTCCATACATAGCTATAACTGTTATACTAAATACTGCTGTTATAAATGATATAATATTCCAGAATTTATCAAAATATTCTCTTCTTTGTTTAATTATTAATAATAGTTCATGTATAGAAGAATAAATTGTAAAAATAATAAATAAAAGTTCAAATAAATAAACAAGAATACCATAACCACCAATATGATCATATAAACGAAAAACTTTTATTTGATAATCTTGTATAATTGAACCCATTGATGTCATTTCAAATGAAAGTGTTACAGCAACAAATAGATTAACATTTGCATTATAAAGTGAAAAATCAATAACAACTGCACGTGTTAATTGATCAAGCCAATTTTCTGAACGAAGTGTTGTAAGAAGTGATCGAGCTTTTTCATATGTTCGACCTAATGATACAACATACCCACCACCTTTATATGTTTTATAAATTGCTTTTAGAGGACCACTTTTTGTACGAGCACTACTCTAAAAACAAAATAAATCAAAATAAATTTTTGTCATAGAGATGTCCATGGAGGCACTGATATTTCTTTGACAGTGTCAGCTACAATTACTTTCTTTTAGGAAGATTGTAAAATTGCATTAATTTGCATCCGATTTATGTGTCTACAAATCCAACAATAACAATCGTAGCCAATCTGATGGATTCAATCTAACTATGCTAATTTAGCACACTGACGGAAGAGATTTTCGAAAACCATCGCGATCGTGGCAGATTCACGTCCATGATGAACATTTCTAATTTGTCAGCAAAACTCTCCTTATGTATACGACCTGTTTACGCATCGTGTTTTACTATAAATTAAGCCGATGTTTTACGACCGTATGCGGTGCTGTATTTCGAAACACTACGGCTTATTTTGATATCCTAGCTGATAGTAAACAGTCGTATACGGTTAAATCACGGCAAGATATAATGAGGGCGATAATCATCTTTCGAAACCTTAGTCAAGTAAAATATGAAATCGATAAATAATTTGGTCGCTATAGTAAAATATAAAACTCATTCGAGCTATAATTTTGTATTTTTTTTTCGAACATTTTTAGTTCAATGTCCAAGTTGTAGGATAGAATCTGTATACCATATGTTTACGTGTCGTGTTGGACTACGAACGACCATATACACCAAAGTTATGATGAAAATACAAATAGGTATATCCTTCGACATAGGTGTATTGCTTAAATTTGTCTCATTACCAAATAAGCATAAATCATATATTTATATGTTTCAATACTGAATTTATAATCAGAAAGTTTATTATTCTAGTGCTAAAACTTTCCCTTAACATCTATAATTGTCTTAGTATTTATTGCACTTAAGATGATGTTGAACATCGTGCTGAAGTTCATTAAATTAAGTAATCCGTAACTATAATAAATTCATAAGTTTGAGTTTTATAAGGTATAAATCCACTTTTGAACTGGTATTAAGTATTTTATATTAGCACTTAAAAACTCTGGATATTCAAAGATGAATTCATTGCTTTAGCTGATATCTAATGAGATACTGAACTTCTAGGACATAGTTATAGCCTGTCTGACATATTCTACACACAAACGATATCATTATGTTTATATCTTAAAATACAAAAAAAAAAAGAAAAATCTTTAACTTCTGGCATTATTACAGTAATCTATTTCATGCTAATTTTTATCAATAAAAAATTCAAGTCATAATTTAAATCATTAATTCTTTTTATATAAAATAGCAATTCGTTGGTTACAGTTTTCTATGATACATTTAGTTTTAACCTCGAAATAAAACTATATCAATGTAGATTCTGTTAGCTATATTTAAAATTCTTCTCGTATCAGAAAAAAAAAATACAACAACTCACTTGATAACACCATGGCGTTCTACATCGTTTTGTTCCATTATTTGACTCATCAGTCATTTTTGCTGCCGTTTTATTCAAAACTTGTTCCCAACTTGGTGTATAATCTTTTGTATCATCATCAAACCAATTATAATCATCTCGACAATGACTTATAATATGTTTAACACGTCGATGAACTCGACAACTATTTTCTTTTACACGTAATTGTCGAATTCGTGGTGCACCAACACGCATTGAAACTCGACTTCCAGTTGTTAATTTTTCTCTCCATGTTAAATTTTTATTATTATACCATGTTTGAGCATAAAGACCTTTTAATAAAACATTATCACAATAATTCCACCATTTAGTTAATGAATCAACACCATGAAAATCATCTGTGATAAGTAAATTTTTTGTATCTCGATATAAACCATATGAATTTGTATCTCGTGCTTGATATGAGAGAAATAATAAAACAACTGTAAAAAATACATAAACAACTATTTCACGAATAATTTCTCCCATTTTTATTTCACGTAAACGTTGTTGTCGAGCACGAGACATTTCATTTGAATCGATGGGACGTAAATCAAATAATCGAACACGACGTTGACGAGCCACTTCTAACGTAAGATACAAAGAAATACATTTTTCTCTTTTAAATATCATCTTCGAGGATTTACTAATTTTTTCTAGAAATCTCATCATCTATCTAATCATCAAGCAGATGGAGTTGAGTTAAAAGCAGATATTTAGCTAAGAGCTAGGATTCTATTTTCATACGATTAAAACGTATTATGTCCTATCCATAGATAATTCCAATAATTTAAAATCTCAGTAGCCTCTTGTTTTTATCATCCGCTCTCACTGTCAGAAACTTATTTTTGCTCAAGAGCAACTGATATATCTTAAACTGCCAGAAATTCTATGTCCAAATCTAGAAGGCCTACTGTAAAATTTTAGTATAACATATTCGGTTGTTTAAGAATTATTGTAATATCAAGGGTAAAAAGAAAGTATATCTACGTATGCCTCAGATTTGTTCTCCAAATCTAATGATACAAACATCCGATGAGGGTCAAAACTTAGGCGGTGATAGTCACTACAAACTTAACAGAGTTCAATGTCTAAATAATTTCTATTTTTTTGATTTTGACGATAATTTTTCTAAAAAATTCTAGCAATGTAGAGATACATTTATGGGAAAAAAAATTCATTTTTCTCCAAAAGGCAATCGAAAATGAAAAACTGAATTTTAGGTTTTTGATGTTGACAATCAAGTTTTTGCTTCTTGCTAGGTCATAATTACAAGGAAATTCATAAGCAGACTGTGAGAAAATATTTGATATACATTTGCTGGTATTTGTTAGTTATATTCTTTAGATTACAGACTTAAAACCGAGTTTAAAAGACTTTCGTAATCGTTCATAGAAAACCTTTATAAAAGAAGTGAATGATAGTATAACAGAAAGTCGAAAACGTGAACTATCCAACCATACGTGAGTCTCAAACATTGAAATTCCTAAGAGGGTGAAATTTAAATAAAAGTGAGTTAAAATTTACCTTTAATTTGAGAATCACTAAAAATATCTTGACCATCATTTTCAGCCATATTATTATTTGATACTAATGCTCCTGTAAAAGGATCATTAAAATCAAGTGTTTCATCATCATATGGACGACGAATAAGAAAACTGATTATTGCAGTTATAAGAAATACTTTCAACGGATCAATAACAAGGATCGATTGACCAAATGAAAGCATCATTGTTATTAACCATTCATTCGCTCGTTTAGCACCCCATTCCAATGAATATAAGATAATAAAGAATGAACATGTAAGAATACTCAACGTAACCACTTAACAAAAATGAAAAAGATAATGATATTCTTAAAAACAAATAATATTCATCTTGTTTATCTTACATCCCCATGCAATATAAATTGTCCAATGTGGAAGTGTTCGTGTCTTATCTTCAACTGAAGGTATTGCTCCAATACGTTCGACTTCATCTTCATCAAGTTTTTTCGAATGTTTAAAACGATTTTTTGCTCGTAAGAAAAATCTAAACATAAATTCAATCAGCTTTTCAAATTAAAGATCATTGTAAACTTTTGACCAGAGAACAATATATATAGGCTTTTAGAGAAAAACTTTCTCTATCGAACGTAGTGTATATATTATTAGTTTCTACTGCACGTATTCTATTCGATAGAAGAAGTCTTTCTTTAATTAAAACTTTGTCGAAAACAACTTAAAGTTGCCTTTCATTTGAAACAAACCTTGTTGTTTTTTCATATTGTTCATCTTTTTCTAATTGTTTCTTTCGACGTTGAGTTTCTTTCAATTGATGTGTTATTAATGTTTTTTGACTATATTTTGCTTTACGAAATAATGTAACAATAATTAAATTTACTGGTAAAACAATTAATGTTCCAATAAAACTAATCCAAAGTTGTGTTAATGTAAATTGAATAGGACCAATTTTCATTAAAACACCAGCTTTATTTCCTGTTGCATTTGTATCTTGTCGATAGAACATTGCATTTGATATCATTGTACAAAATAATAATGATATACAACATGAAATACGTTGTAAACGTGTAAAATTACTTCGAACTGGACGTGAAAATACTGAAAACCAAAGATGACCATCACTAAATTTTTTCTTAACAGATTGAGTAAATAGATGAGCAAAACTTTTTAATTCTTTTGATGATGCTAATGGAATAACACGATCAACAAGACCATCACCTTTTTCAACGGCAAACCAATTATCACATATAAAATAACTTCTAAAAAAACAAAAATTTTTTTACTTAAAAAAAAAACAACTAAAAAGAAACAATAGAATATACTTTTCTCCAGTTTGTAAATCCATTACATTGATCATATTTAAATACCAAGATGCTTTATCTTTAGTACCGGAATTATCATGCCAAACACGAATATAAAGTAATGGACCAAGTAGAGATTCAACACTCATAACAAAATTTCGAACACTTCCTGATTTAAATTCCTGTTGAAAAAAACATCATTTTTAAATAACAAATATCGATTTTTTCATTATTTCTTCTTTTTTTTCTTTCATTTATGTTATTAACATAGTTTATTCTACTCAGAGAAAAGAGTAATATAGACAAAAACAGTCTATATTTTTCGTCAGCAATGAAATGATTTATTTACATTAGGACTACCACTTGTTGTCCATTTGGAATCTATACAGAACCCAATATTCAAACTTACTTGAATTTTTCCATCAGATAACTTTCGTACACCACTATCAGCTGATTCACCGGACATAACGAAACTTATATTTGATGTTGTACCAGCTTCTTTACCAACACCAGTATGAACGGTGATTAAATAATGATAACTATCAATTGGAAGATTATCCATCAATGGTGCTGCTGTCCACTGAAAAAAAAACAAATGCATATATCTTTGTAGTAGAAAAACACTCAACAATAATTAGGGAGTTAATTTACTTCATAATGACAAGATGTTAAAATCTAGGGTGTCATCATGAAAGTAAATAGGAATTAATAAGCATTTCAATAAGCGAAACAATTCTTTTTGAAAAACTCTCATAGGTAGACGTTTCTATTTATGACTAGTATTATCTTGAGATCAGATGATGTTTTCTCTAGTAGAAAGAAACTAGAAAGTACGTCATCCGACTACTACGAAGAGTATCATCTTTTTCATTCTGTTGTATTTATGTTAGCTACTAGCTCCAGTTATGAATAGATGGGTGAATACACAACTTTTTCGATAAATACTAACGATTATCATGCCTTCTTCAATGACATTTCCATTTATTCGATTAGAAAAATGTTTAGAAATATCTTCTATTTGTTTTATAACAGTTTTATTTCAATTTTCCATATTTATATTTCAAATACACGAAAAACTTTTGTCTAGCACTATGGTTATTGTCAAAAAGTATACAATATTGAATTGCATGATTTATAGAGACAGTTAGAGATGTTCTTTTGATTTTTCATAATGCTAAACAAACTTAAGAAAAAGTCTTTCAAGTTATTCAGAAAGATGTATATCAAGCAGTAGTATATTCTAACTAAACTTTTTCGAATATATAACAACATCAGCAACCTCGTTGGATGTTTTTTGAGTGAAACTGGTCTAATTTTCTGTTATTAAACGGCTCTTACTTTCACTAATGTTTTTAAACTTTGATTAGTCTTTCGAAAATGATATTTTTCGTAGGGTTTTCTTTTTATATAATGATTCATCTTCACGACTAGTATACCATGGACTCATGATTATCAAATATTTTTTTTCTTTTTTTCTATTATTTCAATTAAATGAAATAATTTTAAATAGCTTACTTTAATTAAATCTTGTTTATCTTTTCTTCTTGCCCAAACTGCTGCAAGAATATAAATACCAAAAATAACCATAACCGTACTAAATACAGCAGCATTTTCATGTAGTTTTTTGAATTTTTTAAAAACTGTTTTAAAATCAATTGTATTTGGTGGCACATAAAAATCACCTCCAAATGTTGTTAAATGTCTACAAAGACATTCCGTAGATTTTAATGTTGTCAAAGGTCCAACCTATACATAAATACATTTAATATATCAATATTTTATATTTTCAACAACAAATTAATTTACTTCACATCCATCAGAACTCCATACATATCGTTTATCATCCCAATATTGACATTTTGATACATACATATTTACTGTATAACTTGAATTATATTCCGTTAAATTCATTGTTGTACTTGCATCTAAAATTCATCATAATATTAGAAAAAACCCTATTGTTATTTTTTCGAAATACTTACTAAGTAACCTGACACCAATAATATAAGTACCATTACCAAGATGAACACCCGGTGGCATAAAAATTGTATGTCTTAATTCATATTCATCATCTAAATTAATATCTGATGTTGATGATACAGCTGTTTTATTGGGTAAAACAAAAAGTAAATCAAATTTTGATTCTGTTGGTGGTTCTAATAATGTTTCATTTGTATCATATGAAATATAAATAGCATATGTATCCATTGGTGAACCATTCGGAGCAACATAAATTGATAATGTCATTTGATTTTCAGGTAAAGTAACTTTATGATATTGAAATAATGTTCCATGTAATTGATGTTCTTGAAATTTTGGTCGTTTATCAACTGGTCTTGTTAAACGAATTGATATTGGTGCTGTTGTATTTGTTACTGGTATTTCAGCTCCATCGGGTCGTGATAAAATAATAGTTACAACACTTCCTTGTACATGAGAATTTCCATGAGCACTTGCATAAGGATTATCTTTTGATTCAAGAACTTTAGTAAAAACATTTGATGATTCGGAATCGGAATTTAAATCAGATAAACCAGGTAAACGAATACTTGTTTCACCAGCAGATATACTTGATTTACCTTTAAAAAACAAAAAAGAATTTTGTTTTTCTTCTACTCGTCATTTCAATATATGATGTGCTCTACAGTTTTTTGAATAACCTTTTATAGGTATATCATATAGACCTACAGTTTTCACAATTCAAGAGAAGATATCTCGAACTATCCAAGTTTGATTGATCAATCAGATGAATTTTTGGTCGAACGTTTTGACAATGATATTCTCTGAAGCTATTTCTCTTTCGATCTACGAAGGACCAACATTTCTAGTTAGCTCCGTTTTAGAGTTATAAAGCTTTCTTTGAAACCATCGAACTGAGTCGATTGGCCTGTGATCAACAAGAAAAGAAGCTGTACAGAAGTAACTAATTTTGCTAAGTCGAATGGTGATATTTGTTTTTAGGTTCGAAATGATCTGACTTTACTATTTCAATAGTTTCGGAAATGTCAACTACTGCGTTACCTGGAGATTGATTACGACATTTTACAAATATAAAAATAACAGACTTAAACCATGTTCAAGCCTTAAAACAAATAGCATTATTCGTTTCAGCTTGATGATTTAACCCTATCTAGCTGCATTTCCAAGTGATCACAAGTCAATTAGCTGCAATCGGTAGTCTTTAAAAAAATGTTATAACTCTCAAATGGAACAAACTAGAAATATCATCTTTGCATAGATCGAGAGGAATATACCTTCAAAAGTCTTCACCAAGAACTTATATGATTGATCAATTACTGAACTATTAAATTTCAAAATCTTCGATGACCCCGACTATTCTCTCTTGAATGATGAAAACCACACGTCTCTATGGTGTTCTTCTCAAGATTTATTCAAAAAACAAGTTAAGTCTATTAGATTTTAAAATGAATAGTAGAATTATAAAAAAAAAGAAAACACTTCAATCATACCATCCGGAGATGCTTTTGCAAAACTCATTGCCATTGTTTTACTTTCAATTGTTTTTGAATCATTTGTTGATGAACGATTAACTAAAGCATCACCAACTGTAAATAAACCGCCGGCACTTCGTTTAGCAATATTTGAAGCCTAAGAAAGGCGAAAACCAAAAATAATTTCATAGAATAAAGAAAATAAAATAAAATACTCGTTCTCGTCCTTCAATAATTGTTTTCTTTTCTTCTTCTAATTTATGTCGAAGTTCTTCCCATCGTTCTTCAGGTAATGTATCACATTCATCACATGCATCATAAAATGTTGTTGGAGCATAAAGAACTTTTGTATCCATTTCATCATTTTCTGCTTCTTTCATATCGGATTCAAGATTCTATATATGTATATTAATGAAATAAACATGAAATAAATAGCAAGAAAATTTATACGAACCTCAATGACAGCACCAGGATCATTATCTTGATCTTTCGAAACAGTTTTTGATGCAGCTTGAAGAACATTACTACCAACATCCATTAGTGCTAAAATCAAAGAAATTCTTTCGAATGAAAACAAAAAAGAAACAGAATAAACAAACATGTAGCAAGTTCAGTGACTGTATTTTCATCAGCTGATTCCATATCTTTGACTTTAGAGCCAACTTTTTCAATAAGACCAGCTCCTTTTTCCTACAATTCATATTTTTATTTAACAAAAAAAAAAAAAACTAAATCAGAAAATCATCAAACTTGATTATTCAATGGCATTTGTTCACTATTTGCTGTTACTGTTGCACTAGCTTTAAGTGCTTTTTCGACCATAGTTGGATCATTTGCTGAGTCTAAGACTGTATCCATTGATGATAACATTTTTGATCGCATCTAAAATTAAATATTTTATTTTTCATTACCAATTTTATTGAAAATATATTCAAACTTACGGCTGCCATTCGTTCATTAACTGCTTTCGCTTCCGTTTCATTCATTTCTCCCATGGTCTATTTTAAAATAAAATAGATTAATTAAATAAAAGAATCACTTACAGAATTATCACTCATTTCATTAAGTTTATCTGCTAAACCGGTAATTAATTGTACTGCTTTTTCTGGATTTGCTGAAGCTAAATCATCTAAATTACCCATAACTTCTTCCAATGCATTTAAATCTGCTGTATCAAATGCATAACTTATTTGTTTATCAATTTCTAAACGTGTAATTAATTGTCTTCCATCAGTTATATGTCGAATAATAAGTAAGAAATGAAGTGTTTTATTATCAAATTCTAAATCATTTTCACTAATATTAAATATTTTTGTTTTTGAATCAAAATTAATTAATTCTTTTGTTTTTGATTGTTGTGCTTTCGTGGTAAAACATTGATTTTCATAGATTTGAATATTGAATTCTGAACGACGTGTAACTAATGTTAAACTATTCCATTGTATATACCAATTATTAAGATTTTGTGGATTAGTTGCTGTTGATCTTGTTGAACCTAATTGAAGTGTATTAGGAATGAAGATAGAGGATTGCATATCTTGTGGATAACATATTAAAGTAAAATTAAGTTTACGACGATCAAATTCAGTTGTATCAGGATCCGTTGTTGAAGAATAAAAATTTAATTGAATATGTTGACCATCAATTGTTATTGTTTCATTTCCACCAAATGTTGTTATGAAATCTGAACGTACAATTTCAATTGGTTGAATAAATTGTCGAAAATCAGCTTGTTTTAAACTTGTACTAATAGTAAAAACAGCTAAATAATAACCATATGGAAGTGATTTTGGTTCAATTGTTAATGTTGATTTAGGTCCAAGTTCTGAACAATCTTTTGAGAGAAATGTTTCTTCAAAAGATGCAGTTATTTGATGTGAATAACGTTGTGTACGAGAATATTTCCATTGAGATGGTTCAATTGATAAAATATAAAATGAATAAATAAGATCATTTTCTGAACATGTTGTTAATATTATTGGTTCAAGATTATGTTGAAGACTATATGGTAGAAGAAGTACAGGTGATGATAAAGTTATATTATTAATAGCATTTGAAGAAGTTAGAGAAAATTGTTGTTCTTGAAAACATGTTTCTTCAGGTTGAGTTATACCTTGAACAATTGTTACTGTTGGACATGCGATTTCAACAGTAAGAAATTTTGATGATGGTTGAATAAAAGTTACATCAATTTTATATGTACCAACTTTTGTAAACCTATAAGGTAGAAAATATTTGTTTTAAAGTAGTTAACAACCAAATGAAGATTGTACAAAAAAATTCATTTGAAAAATCTGCTGAAGAATATTTTTTGTTCAACAAAACAATATAACACAATTAATTTATTTTTCAAAATCTCAAGCGATGTCATACCTATTGCAAACATTGAAGACTATTGTCTTTTGCTGAACTGTATTTATCTCCTTTTTTCATGTAGTCTATGATTATCGTTCCTTCTTATATATTTTTTTTTCCCGTTTTTTTTGGATTCACTTAAGTCCTGGATAGTTTTGTTCTCATTATATCATCATCGTCACCTAACTACGTATATATAAAGTTGCAATAAACAAGCTTATGAACTTCTATATCGACTCTTCATTTCCCTCTTATGAACAGTCAGATTTCTGATAGGAAATTTTTCATGTGTTGATAATTAGCAGAGATCTTCACAATTCGTCAAAGACGAAATCAGATCAAGAAAGTTAAAACATATTCGTGTCTTATTCTTAATATGATAAAAAAAAAGAATAGATTGTAATGAGAACAAGCGAAAGATGATGTAGACCAAACTGGAGAATATCACAAATTTTACTCAAAAGAATTAAAATGCTTCATCTAAAATTGTTGTTTTACTATCAAGAAAAATGACTATTCTATTTAAAGATTAAATTAGTTGTAAACAAAATTTATAACATTAGATTTTAATACAAAAATGATCGTAAGTTCAAATCTTATTTCAAACATTTCTATTCTTATGAAACACTTTCATATTTAACAACATTTCAAATGTGAAATTTTTCTTACTTATATCCAACTTGTAATCGTTGTTTATTAATTCTTTTCCATTGTATATCATGTATTCCATCATTTATCTTTATTATTTTATTAAATGAACTTGTTATAAATTGTCCATAAGATATTAAAACTTTTTTTTCATTTCCATAATCAATTTGTACATCAAAACCAATTCCATTAATCCATTGTATATCAATCCAAATAAAATCTTCATTAACAATAGCCATTTGATTTAATATATAAACTTGTGGTTTTGTTGTTATATCTGTTCCAATTGTAAATGTTGCTTGTGCTTCACGTATTGTTGGAAAATCTCCACCACGTACATGTAATGTTTGTCTACCATATGTTGTTATATTCATATAGAATTGTTCAGTAAAATTATTCGATGCTAATAATTGTATACGTTCAGTTCGTGTTAAATTTTTTTCATGATTATTTGTACTACCAACAATAGTTAAGGAAAATAAACCTTCAAATGGTATACGTTCCAATGCACGAATAGTAATTAATGTTAATTGATTAATATCTGAACGATCTTCAATTTCAACTTTAATTGGTGATAATGGTTCTTCAACATCAATACGTATTGATTGATTTACTAAATTTATACGATTCATTGCACTAACTAATGGATGATATCGACCAGATTCAGTATAAGTACAATTGGCAACAACAATTGGAGATGTTCTATTTGTTTGTTGAATATGAATAATTGCTAATGGAATTTTTGGTGTACCACAATCGAATATAATTGTTAAATCTGATGTAGGTTCAAGAGTAATGGAATATTGGATTGATTGACCAGTTTTTATTATTGTGTGAGATGCTTCAATATCTAATGAACGTATTGCTGGTTGAACATTAAGATAATATGCTTGTAATGGTACAGAATCACATTCAAGTTGATAGAGATGTTTGCCAGCAGGTAATGGCTGTAATGAAAAATAAATTTAACTATACAATTTCAAAATATTAAGCTATCAGACTAATGTAAGACGAATACAAAATAAAAATAGATTCTAGTACTATTTTGATCAGTAGCATCAGTTTGTTGAGGTATATTTCGTTTAATAATGAAGCAATAGAATAAAAAAAGAACAATATATCTCAATTCATAACAGAAACATCAGGTGATAAGCTATATGTGTAAAGTTCCGGCCTCATTCATTCATTTAATTTTTGATAGAATTGAAACATGATTCATTTCATATAAAAAAAAAATGTTGTTAGCACAATCTCTGAAAGATTAAAATATAAAACATGGTGTAGCTGCTGTTTCTAATCACATAGAGAAACTGTTCTATTCAATCTACTTTGGAATATATTTCTTCACTATTTTTTTACTTCATCTTCCAGGAAAGCGATAACGAATAAGTTCATATGTTATAACGAGACATTATTAATGTACCATCTTTGATTGTATGTCAACAACGTGATTCATTAGTCTGATACTTTCCCTACAACTAGTAGTACCATCTATAGGTCTTGAGAGAAGGTCGATCTAATGCAGAGTTCTTACGCTCAATCGCTTGAGTTTCTCGTATACATTGACTAGCCATGAGGACAGGTGTATATCACAACTTGGTCAGCATACTATTGGACAAGCGATCTGAGATAAACATCTGGTAATAGCTCGTCCGAAGTTTTCTCATGGCTGGTACTACTGATGTTTCTACATAGTACCTATTGGTTACGTGTCAAACAATGCTGAGACTCACCCCATGACGGGTTCCGGATGAAAATCCTTTTATAATCACATATAGTTAAAAATTCTATGTTAAAATCGATGCTTTACTGAACAATGTCTCTTAATAAATACGTAAGTTTGCACATAAAAAGGTTATAAATTTATTGAATTGTACAAAATTTTTATACCTCATTTGGAATAATTTCCAAAGTTTTTTTCCTCCAAACTAATTTCATTTTTTCATTTGTAATCGCATTTCGTAAATATAAACAACTAGCTTGTTGAAATGAATAATCTTCACGTGATATTAAATTAAATCGATTTGCTGTTGATGTTTCCATTAAATCTTTATAAATAATCATTTTTCTATTCATTTTTTCTCGTCGAATTGTTCGTATTAAATATGTTGTATTTGCACTACGTTCATTATAACATCGAGCTGAAACATTATATTGTCCATAGCGTGTATAATTTCGTGCAAAATAAGCTGTATAATATTGATGACGACTTGTACCGTTTAATTGTCGACTTCCATCACCATAATCAACTGTACAATTGATTGGTACACTTCCTATAGAAAAAGGGAACAAATTTTTCAAAAAAAAACAAAAATAACAAAACTAATAAGTTAAATAAATTTAATTACCAAATGTTTGTATCGTGAAATTTTGATAATGATGACCATTACGATTATCAGGTGAAAAATGAACAAATTGTAATGGTAAATCAGTTTTTACATAAACAACATCGACATAAACTGTATGATATTCAGCCATTTCATAATTGACCATTCGACGATAATCAGCACGAAATTGAACTTTTTTTGCACCTTCATTTTTCCATGAGAGATTAACCTTTTTTTTCAAAATTATCAAATAGATTTTATTTAGAAAATTAAAGAAGAAAATAATGACTGAACTTACAACACCAGCAGTAATGTAAATTTCATTTGAACTTCCATTAGCATTTGTAGGTTCTTGACCTTCAATATCACCATAGACAGTTAATGAAGCAAGATTTCGTTCATTTTTCACCGAAACAATAATTTCAACACCTTCATTTATTTGAACTCGTGTTCGACCATGAATAATAAAAGTTGAGTCAGCCAAACGAATTTCAAGACCTCAAAGAAATTGTTGATTTTTATTCATCGAACAATTTTTGCATTCTTTCAACAATAAAATGTTTTATACATATCTGTGAACAAGTAGCACAAGATATATTATTCATACTGTTGCTTCATAATTTATTTTCTCTGGCACACATATATTTGTCATATGCATAGCAAAAAAGAGATTTAACAGTCAGACAATCAATTAAACAAAATATCAAATGCGAAATTAATTGAAGAAATATGTTGTCATACTGAAGATGGTTTTTAAACTTCGAAAAACTTTTAAAATATTGTATATACAGGTCATTTATTCGTTTACAATATGATTTCACAAAAAATAATAATGTGTATATCTCGAAACTGAATTTTGTTTTAACTAATTTTTATGCATCAAATATATATTGAGTTACTCTAGATACCTTGGAAATCTCAGCCCTTAAATCTTTGTCCCGTCAAGTTATTATTGAAAAACAAGTCTTAACAATATGACACCAAGAAGGCCAAAGGTTTTTACTGTATGCCTTCCTTATTAAAAATACTAAAAGTTCTCAAAATAGTTTTTAACTATAATATAGAACATTGCGTACAGAAACCTTCAGACTCCACATGATCTCTGCACAAGTTTTTTTTCTGAATATGCTTAGTTTTTTTTCAAGAAATAGAGTGTACTTGTTGCCAGTGACATGACTGAGTATGAATGTAGAAATGAAAAATCTTCTTGGGAATTTTGAGATGATAATGGGTCTTATAAAAAGTTTCATTCTATATATATAGTTTGTGGCATGAAGTTTATCCCTAAAATTTTTAGATTTTTCGGTCACAAGATTACAAAGTTATTCACTAATCATGTTTTTATTACCTAATGAAATTTGATTAGGTGAAAGCTAAAAGAATCAATATTTGTACGTATATCTATAGTAAATGAACTTGTTCAAAACAAATAAAAAAAAATAAGGCCTTATAAGAAGATCAGAGTCAAATCGAAAATAGTCACATCTCATTCTAGATAATTTTGTCCATATAATGTGATATTCATCATGCCACTATATCTAAACTTTATAAAACTATACATAGGGAAAGAAAATCTTTCGTTTAATTTTTTTCATGTTATGTTATTATTAAATGCGAAATGAATATCGAACTATCGATAAATAAAATTTTAAATATTACATACCAACTTGAGTATCAATTAAATCAATAACATTTGATACGGATATCACATGCCATTGTCCATCATCCAAACATGGTGTATCTAACTCTGATGTTGATAATGGACATTTACAAATATTCTTCTCATATTTAAATGAAGAATCTAATTCAAATGTACTTAAAATACATCCGCATTGACCATTTATCGATGAATACAATGCAACCTATCAACAACAAAAAAAAACCAGCAGATACATTTAAAAGATCAACGAAATGACAAAATAGAATTCAAAACCTTCATTCTTCGATCATAACATGCTTCTCGACATTGTTGCCATTTGTCATATTGTTCCGGAATTATATATTGATGGACACGATCATTTTCTTTCAAACATCCCAGTGAGACACGATCCGAAGAAACTAAAATTATATATTTTTTTTAAACTTGAAACGAAAGAAAGAAAATACAAACTATTAGCAATTTCTTGTTCTGATAAAATTCTTTCATAATAAACAATTTCATCAAATATAGCTAAACCTGTATCATTTCCATAAATAAGAGCTACTTTTGGATGTAAATTATTATATTTAAATACAAATACTTCTGTATAATTTTCAGCTTGTGATTCTTTATAAATGTGTCCATCAAAAAATAATGTCATTTGATTATGTTGTCCAGTCGATGTTGTACGTTTTTCGATTGTTGTTACAACATCAATCGATTTATTGACTTCTAAATCAGCTTCAATTTGCCAATAATAAGCAAATTCATCATTACGAAATTCTTTTAAACCAAATTCAAGATATGAAGTATTTTTCGATTGATATAAATAAATTAATATTCCATCACCATGTGGTTCATGTGCACCTGTACTAAATAATAAATGTTTACGTTCACGATCAATAATTGTAAATGGATTAAGATGTAATTTAAATCTTAATGACCATCCATGTGATGAACACATTGCTAATTGTCGAAGACATTTAAATTTATAATTTGATAAATGATAAAAACCATCAGATTTAGGTTTTATTTGAGAACGATCAAGAAGTGGTATTCCATCTTATAAAAAACGAAATACAACAAGATACATTATTGGATAAACTTACCTTCAGTTTGAAGAGAAATATTATTCTCAATGAAGACGATTAATAAAATAAGAAAAACCGGAATCTTCATGATACCGGAGCTATGTATGAACTATTTTTCTTTTTGAAATGAATCGACTGTTGTACCACTGTTGATAGAAATGATTGAGTGGAAAAGAAAGGTGTTTCATACTGTTTTTTTTCCAAACTCTGGGGAAAAGGCAAGCTTGTTTTAATCATATCATTCCTGATTAACTGCGTAAGCAAAATGCCTATAGAGAAATAACATTTGACATTAGAAAGACGTCATTTACTAATATTTAAGTAAGAAACTAATCAATATTATCCGTTTGGGTATTTGATTGTATTAGAACATATCGTGTATCGAGAGATTATTGAACAAAAACAATTAATTTATCGTCAAGTTAGAAAGAAAATAAAAAAAATATTTGAAATAGTCACGCAAATGAATCTAAGGTCATATCAACCTTTCAAGGAAAAATGGATGTTTTTCTTCCAAAGTTCAAAACTTCGTTGTTCTTTTGCATTACACAATGGCTCAGTAAAATTCAATAATGATGAAGAAATGTAGCTGTTAAAAAATTAAATTGTAAGAACACATGTACAAGTGAAGGTTTTCAAGTGATTCACACCATTTTAAATTATATTTTTGTATATGCCAGAGACAATATTCTAAGAGAAGCATTGAGAGAATTTGGGTTGATGGGACTTACTTAAGAGATTATAAGCATTTTATTAAGTTTTTCATCTAGTACAAGGTATATATAGAAAAATTGAACAACATAATTTCAATCTAAAATTTCACTTATATGTAGTTCTTGTATCATTGGAACATTATAAACGTTTCAGTGAACAAAAACTGTTTCCTTCTTGTGATGTTTAACAAAGACAGGTTTTCAGGCACAATTCATTGGTATCCGAAAATCATGGTGTTTTCAGATCATTGAACATTTTGCACTGGTTTTAGTCATAATTGTGAGCATATTCAGAAGTCCTATCGAATTCTGAACAAAATGAAGTGTTCGATTTGGTTTATCAAAACTTCAACATTTATTTTTCTCAAAAAAGCCAAAATGTTTTTTTCGTTGGATTCTAGGAAATAATACATCTTTTGATGAAGAATTTAATGCTAGTGACAAACACCTAGTTGCTTCTGACTTTTTTGCATTTTATTCTAATCCAAGTTGCAACTTTCGAGAAAAGACTAGAACTACATGGTGAACATTACTTTTTATTGGTTATTCGATATAGTTATGCTTTATATGAAATGACCTGATGTTTTGAAAACTTGTTAAAAAAACTGAACGGCTCGTATGTAGAAAGTTTACTTGTGTATCGCTATTCCAGTAACGGTCAGTATTTTTTTTGAATAGTTCAGCTCTAGCTAAAGAAAATCAGTGACAATTTTACTTATAGTAGATCTAACTGGTGTTTATCTATGATAAAAGTTTCAAAGAACTTTCTTTTATCATGGTCGAAAAATAGATATGACAAAATAAAATAATACAATTCAGTGACGCTTAGCCATGCCACGTAAAATATAAGCATATGCATTGTGTTGTACACTCTTCTGACGAAGGAATCTTCAAGCTGGAAATGTTACATTCAATGGAAATCTTGTTTATAAACTTAAACAAAAGTATTATTCAATACAATCGAGTTATGTATTTTTTTCTCTTAGACAAATAAATCCAATTAGTACCATTGATTAGAAATATTCAAATAAAATCATCAACATTTTTAATCAAAATACATAGACAAGGTCATTTACAAATCGATAAAAGTGTTACTGTATCAATCTTGTATAAATTAAATGTTGCTCAATACCTCTTATTTCAGTATGGAATTATGGAAATATTTCTAGCCAATCATAATAGAATGATTAATAATCGATCTACCATTGTTTGATACTTTACATATTATTCATGTAATACGAGTATAACTGTGTAGTTTGATGTCTTTACTAGCATCAACATGAAATGCATCGTTGCCTTGAATAATCATGGAAACCTGCATAGTCGCACTTAATAATCATCAAAGAAAAAGAATGAAAAGATTTTCATTGGAGAATACATTCTGGAGAACATGTTTGGTATGATGGTAACATGGCATGTATGTTTTTTTTTCTTTTTTCTTCACTTTTGACAGTTTATATTTATTCGTCAATCAATAGAATCAAAATAGCTTTTATATATAATTGTCTTTTATTTATTTACATTAATAATTGTAGAGGATTTTGTTTTTGAAAATTTTAATGATTCAGTACTTGCCATACAACATTTGAACACCGTCTTCTTTTTCTTTTCTCTTCCTGTTTTTTGTAAACATTGAGTTGTAATAATTTGTTCTTACTTGCAAACATATGGCATCGACTACAGCTCTTACTTCTTTGGCCGGTAACTATTGTCTGTTGTTCTTCTTATATTAAAAATCTAATTTTTTTTCAGAAATTGAGGAATCTCTTCGTCAAATATCGATATCGGATTTCACTGAGCTTAAATCTTATGCTAAGCCACCATTGGCTTATCTCGCTATATTCGAGGGTATTGGTGTTTTACTTGATCCATCGAAAAAAGCATGGGAATGGACAGACGATAAAAAACTAATGTCAGGAAATAAAAATGACTTTTTACAACGTTTATTCAACTTTGACAAGGATAATATCAATAATGAGCAAATAGAAAGACTTAAATCAATTTTGGCTCGAAATGATTGTCAACCGGCTCATTTAGCTAGCATATCGACATTATGTTCTAAATTAGGCTTATGGCTGCAAGCAATCTTAGAATATGCAACACAACGACAACAATCTAGTTAGTTGCATAAACTAATTAGCTTGCTCATATTTTTATTGATTATTGTTAACAAACATTGTATCGTAAACTTTTTTGCTCGAACAAAAAAAATAAAATATTTATAGTATGTGACGAGATTTTAATGGATACAGTTGCCGATTGCCATAAATGTCTGTATGATATTATACAGGGAAAAGATGTATACAATAAAAAAATTAAGTTACAAAAAGTAGGAATTATATGATACATTTTTTATTTTTCTCATTTCTGATGAAATGTTGACTTGTCAGTTTTATAGTGGTTTTACATATAGATTGCATCAGCAACGTGCCAGTATAGTTCATTCTCTTTTGCATGATTTTATTATTTTTTGTAGTAGTTACGAACACATTGTGTAATAATCCTACTGTATATAAAACTACGAATGCAAAGTAAAAAGTTATTTAACAAGCATTAATAATACAACATTCATTCGACACTTAACTTCTTTGTATTCCGATCTTGACATTAATATCGATCCGAAACCATTCTTTATTAATGCGAATGTTACTTTAGATCAGCATATTCAAGCACAAACAATAAATTTGCCTCGTTATTTAGCTACTTTATTCGCACTCGATGAAAATA